GTGAGGCCCTTGTGGGGGGAATAAACAGCCTCAGTCAGTCCTGCCTGGCTCTCAAACTTCTGCAAGTTTTCCTGGGACTGCCCTGAGTTTCAACGGAAATACAGAGAAAGACCAGACAATTAGATTTACGCTGCTGTTACATCACAGATACTCACAAGTTTTCTCAGGAATTATCAATGTAAAATATGCAATTTTCTTTAAAACCCAACATATACAAGAGAGTTCTCAAACACTGCGATCACAGATTTGACTCACTTGCCATAAGAGAGCTCATCAGTGTGGTGGCTTTGGCTTTCACAACAGGTCCTGGGGACCTGGGTGGTACTGATGCTTCACGTGGAGGTAATTTACTGCCATTCTCGCTTACCTGGTAACACAGGTTTGAAGTTTAAGGAAAAAATGTGCAACTTTTTCCATTTCAGAAACCAAAGCAAGCAAGGGTGCTCAAGGACACTCAGCCAGGTTGACATACTTTAAGCCCAAAGGACATTTTATAAGCAACTAAAAACTATGAGGGTTTAGAAAGTGTAAACAAACAAAGAGCACCTCAACTATGTTCCGGAACCTGTGCTGAGGGATGAGAGGATCTTTCCAGAAGATGTTGACTGTCATGTCTGCAGGTGGGTGGTTCATGGGGGTATCCATGTGCTCATCGTAGCAAATGTTGTGGCGAGCTATACCAGTGGGAGATGATAAAGCTGTGCAGAGGCCAGACATGCCGAACTCAAGTGCTAGGAAAACAAGAAAAGTAGCAGCATCAATAGAAACAGGTTCCAGTCTATATAAGAACTAATGTTGCTTCTAAATACCTGGAATGTCTCCTTGCCCAGAGGCCATTTTTTCACCAGAACAAGGGGTTTCACCACAAAAGAAAGACAGTGGACTCTATGCCCAGCGTGACAAACCTGCATCACACAACGTCAAACATTGTTGAAAGGTCATGGATCTGTCATAAAGATCTGTTTACTTAAAGCAATGGTTTCTTAACTGTTCTTGCTGTCTCCCCTTTGATTCCAAAGGCAGTTTTAGCAGAGAAAAGCCAGTAAATTACTTGTTGTAATAAAACAAGTTACTTATAAATCAAAAAACTACCACTTTTAAAGTATAATTTAATTCCTACATTTTATTTTAATGTGTAACAGAATTCAACATTGCCATCATTTTTGTTTTGTTTTGTCAAAATACCTCTGAAAATGGGTCACTTAATTATTTAATATTTTACCAGGCGCCACTGTGATTACATTGAGCCTCCCCTAGGTGGATTGCATCCCACTTTGGGAGCCATTGATTTAAACAGTTTGGAAGCAACCACTGGTGGTTTCACTATGACTGTGGTGTGGTATATATAAAAATAATCTCAGGTAGTAACATAAGTGTTACAAGATCATCTTTTATTTTTGCATTTATTAATTTATTTCAGGTCATTTGTGGGGGTTGGAATGACTCTCTTTCTAAAAACATATACAGCCATAATATCTGGACCTCAAAAAATAAAAATTACCACTTAGATTTTATAATATAAATCTTTGTTTATGGAGAAATTAAGCCCCTTTGTTAAAAGGAGCAAGTTCTTTGGTTTATTTCAGTAAAATCACTTTTTTTGTTTTTTTTGTTTTGTTTTTTAACCAGGGATACAACTTTTTCATTCCTGAAATGATACAGACTTTGCATCCTTTGTGTTGGATGTCAGAAAAGGCTGATCATTAATAATTCTCAAACAAAGAACAATTGTCGACAACAATAAGCGCAAGAACATCCAACCCATTCATCTTTAACCAAAGAGTCTTAAAACTTTAAAGAGAACAGGACATCCCATTGTTCAAACTATGTGACAGAGACATTATGTTTATAATGTTTTCATGATTTAATTAGTTATTTTAAAAGCTTGTCTTGCAGGTAATGCCATAGCCCATTCTCTAAGATGTCACTAACACATATTTGCATGTTGGTTGTTGATCTATTAACACTATAATAAGGTGGGAAATGAAAAGAGTGCTTAGGAAAGGTTTCATGCATGCACCTTCACTGACAGAAACACATTTGTCTTTTCAATGCAAACATAAGCAGAAAGTTGGAATAAAGACACATCATTGATGATAGTGAAGATAAGGAATTATCAAGCCTTACTTGAATGAAATCAGAGGAAAGTTTCTCTTGTCTGAGCTGCTTTAAATAGAACTGCAGAATCTGGTTACTGTACAGGAGTGTCATCAATATGAGTTTCAGTCAGAGGGAGTCTCTTCTCTCAGCTTCCCCTCAGCCTTCTGCAGAGCAAAAGAAGACAAGTTTCAATACAGATATTTTATTATTATCTATTTAGTACAGGCAAACACAACCTCATCTTGTAAAATTGAAAAATGTAACCATATAGGTTAGTTTTGGCTCATAGTTCAACTCAAGTCAGAAGAGTAAATATTTAAATCTGTAATTAATAATAAATACCTTATTCCAGTCTTTGATTCATGTGCAGAGGAGGGGCTGAGTCACAATTAAAAAAATATCATGACATGGGCTATGAAGGAGCTATTTGTCTAACATGTATTCTTGCCTACATATGGCAAAAATATACTTTAATCTACAGACTTCTTTAAGGTGATTCTGCTTTGTTATCAGAGGCTGCTTTTTTATTATTCTGCTGCTGCTCAGACAGCTGCTTTATTCCCATCACAACAGAAGGAATCCACTTGCAGTGACTTGCAAAAAAAAATAAAAACATACAGGCCACTGTAAAAGAAGGTTAGGTTGTGTTTAATTACAGTGCACCATTTTTTATCTCTACATGTAACAAATTCCTAAATGGGAAACAGATCTAGTACTTGTATTAAGGTATACATGACACAAAAGTGTACAATGCAGGTTATAACACTCACCTCTCCTGTCAGGCCGTAAAAACAGTAAATAACAATCAGATGTAGCGAGGATCAAGCGACAGATGGAAGGAATAGACACAGCATGTTTGTTCACCGGTTAGCTGGTCCATGACTTTTGATCAAACAGCAAACAGAGACGAAACACAACAGCAACGACTGAGCCTGCCTCTATCTCTCCCCCTCTCAGGATTTCGTCTGAAACTTGAAGCTCTGCAGAGGGAGGGGTGGGCATGCAGGATGAGGGCCAGGAGAGCATGCAACACAGCTTTAGTTTGCAGTTCTTATTATTTTATGTGGTCTGTAACGGTGCCAGGAGAACAAGTATCATTAACCATGAGATAAATAACTAGGTCAACTTCCTTTCAGAGTTTAGCTAACAGGAATAAGCAGGGAGCAGAGGAAGTTTTAATATTCCACTTCCAAATGTTTTCTTACTCCTAACATTTTACTTGTCATAATGTTTATAATTTAACAATAATTAGGATGTTGAATGGAAAACAAAATGGCATGGTTTTCATCATTTTGGTGGGATAAAAAACCCCTGAAAACTTTGGAGTGAGTGTGGTCAATTTTCATCAGTAACTCCTAAAAAAAAAATCACCTTTGCTATAGATCAGAAGCCACTTTTACACTATTAAAACCTTAGTATAATAGACACAGAAACAAAAGTTCTGGGCAAAGAAAGGGTTTTTTGGTGAACTATATGCACTCATAAATTGGATTTTCTGAGTTACCAGCCAAAAATACAGCAAAAATTGAAATTCCAACAGGAAATTCAGAATCTATCAATCTATCTATTAATGAAGCTTTTCTTAATTTGGAAAAAGAGAAGCAGGTGAGAACTGATGGAAGGGTGGATAGAGCAATACAGGAATCAAACCTGTTAGAGGCGCTAAAATACATCAAATCTGAATAAAGTTTCATATACTAGTGGAAGCAGCAATCTTAACATAGAGACCGGGCATAAGATGGGTTGATTTAGACCAAAAAGGAGATTATTTTCTTCAAATAGCAGAGTGAAAGTTCAGATTTACATTTGTCTGAGAATCTGTTGATGCTCACAGAGGCTGTTCATCCAATCTGACCAAATCAAAGCAATTTCATTGAAGAATGAGTGAAAAATTCTCTCCCTAAATCAGGTAGATGTACTAAAAAGATCTGTTGTTGTTGCTCTGTCTTCACAAAAGTCATAGATTTCAAAGTATTATGTATTAAAAAGTAAGTATGGTGCACTCATAGTTTACAGTTTAAAGGATTCTTATGGCTAAACATAATCAATTCATTTACAATTTATTGTTTTTTTTTTATACAAGTACTTTATATGCTTTTTTTAAGAGATATATATAGATATATATTTATTCCAGTTGATTTAAATGGTTGCATCTAGTGAAACGCTTTTCTATTTAAACATGTTATTGCTTTCCTCATTGTGACTTGACTGTAGAACCAATTTATTAAGCTGCTATATTTAGTAGCTGGTTTTCACATGTAAAGTTAAAGAAGAGATCGTGGACATTGTTGTTGTCCATGTTAAACTCACAGAAAAAAATCTTTTAATTTCTTTGAAAGGTTTTAAATAAATTAATCTAAAAGCTGTTGAAATGCAGCAATATTGATTTAACATCAAAATATCATTGGGTTGGTTTATTTGGAACATTCGAATTACATTTGAAGGTTAAGACTTAGCTCCAGAGCAAAGCAGCAGTGAGTTCAATGCTGCAGTTAGTTAAAAATGTAAGGTTGGTTATTTAATCTTGATGCTCACGTTGAGAGAAATAATGTTTGTTGAGGGTGTGAAGGACAACGGCCAATAGGAGCGAGTGAAGCATTGACACTCCTCTTTGAGAGCTGAGCAGGAACATGTTTTTCATTGGTTGGGCATTGACCCCCCGAATAACCCCACACAACTCTGCTGTCAGCCGTTCATAAAGGGCACCCTGGATAGCAGCTCCTATTTAGTGAAAGAAGCTCTCAGCATGCATGAGACGTGACGTAACACACTGCAGAGATCTTTTATTTGCTCCACATGATGGCGTTGTTTTGTAGAAAATGATCTAGTTTAAGGATCAAACATAACTCAAGACCCAATAACTTCTTTGATTTCTTTTTTATTAGAAAAATAAACATACAAGCACAAAAATAATTATTATCCTTTCTGAAAAAAAAAAAATCCAAAATACATTCAGCAAAGAAGTGTTGCATGTACACATTTGCATAAATAAAACACATTAATATAGTTTATCGACGTTAGGAATCTGCAGTCCACATTGAAGGTGACTTTGCAGTTGGAGGTGAGGTGAGGTTCTGGTTCAGCTTGAAAAATCGGATCTAAGCGGTGGAGCTGCTGCTTGCGCTGCTGCTGATAGTGGTGGGGTTGGAAGGGGTGGTGACCTTTGAATTCCTACAGATATCAACAGAGCAACAGGTTTAAGTTAAATCAGGGTGTAATTCATACATAGACCTAAGGAACTGTGTGGTGTATGGACTGAAAAAGACACAGAGATTTAAGTTATACTCACATGACTTTGGTAAGCATCCTTTTCACAGCCTTCAGCTCAGGGTTCAGACAGTAGCGGTACCCTTTTCCACTCGTCACACTGTGGGAGCATGGAGATTACCATAAAACAAATGAAGAATGCACCTAATTAAGGAATGTGCATTGATAAATTGTGTGAATCAATAATCAAGGATTAAAAAATCTTTAAGAATAGTTTTTAGTGATAAAGGTTTAATCTAATTAATGTTAGGTTACATTGGCAATACAATGGATTAATTGTATGAATTTCTAACAGAGAAATCTGCTGTTAGAAATTAAAAGGCACAACTTACACAATCTCTACTTTGTTACAGAAGATGGTTGCAGGGTAAATCTGGATGTCCTTGATGTCAGACTTCGAAGAAATGCCATTTCTGACACGCTGACAAAGACAGCTCTGTCCAGGCTCATTCACTGAAAACAGAGACAAATACAAGTTATTGATCTGAATTTACAAATACTAGATCCTAGTAAGAGGCACCTTTCAGTTTTAATTATAATAAATAAGATTAGACACTTACGCTGAGCTGCAGAGATGCAGACTGCGACGGCCAGGAACAGAAACAACTTGATGATGCTGGACATCTTTGGTTTGGTCTTTGGTCAAGATAAAGCTGACAGGTTAGTCAAGATGATAAAGCTGCAGGCTTGGTGGTGGAGGAGCTGTGAGGGTTTAGAGGCTGAGGGGTCCTCTTTAATACTCTCTTGAGCTGCTTACCTCATCTTTCCTGTGACAAAAGGGAAATTTTTAAGACTGGAAAGTGAAACCCTAAAACCCACAGGAAAAGAAGAAACTTCCACTGATCCCACTACCCCCATAGTTCTCTTTTTTATTTCTTTTTTTTGTTTGAAATTGGACAGTATTTGGCAAATAAAAATGTATAAAAAGCATAATTGAAATAACTCTTAAAAAACAAAATCGGTAAAACCTTAATATAAAAACTAACCTGAATGTTTTAGAGAATGTATATTCGTCGAGACTTCAATTCATATCTGCTGAAAAATCATTTTAATATTCTTAAAACAAAATTCAAGATAGAAAGGCTTATACAGTAAGAATACAGTAAGAAAAGGGAAATTTGTCTCTTGTTGTTGAGGTTTATTTACTGTAGCCTATTGTAGAAATAACAATCTAACTAAAAAAAATTATAATTAAAACTAAACATTATTCCAGGTCTTTAGATTTCCTGCAAATTCAACAATGAAAGAAAATGTCAAATTACTTTTTATATATACATATACACATATACATATATGTACAACATTTTTTTACTTGTGAAATGTGTGGACAGACTCGTTTGTCATGCTGAAGTGTGGGCTGTGATGTTTGCAACACGTCTTTTTTTCGTGTTTTAGCAAGCAGCAGTGGTTAACACCTTTAGCATTTGCAGTGCTCATTCAGATGTCTAAGCACACGGAAAAGTTAAAAAGAAAAATCCAAGCCAGGTTTTTATTTGTTTCCACTGCAAAGCATGGCATTTAGCTTCACATTTATTTAATTTGTGAGAATACTCTGGTCTGTAATCTGATGGACGATTGTTTCGATTTCCTTTACAGTTGTTTGATATGGTCCTTATCAGATACGCACCTGATCTTATCTTATTACACATGGGTTTGGTGAGAGATTTTCTTTAATTTGAGGAAAGAAAAAGGCTTGAAATTCATGTTTCAGTTTTGGGTCCTCTTTCACTTTTAAGAGTCACAAAAGTCAAATGTGATCCCAGCTTCTGTTTCCTACTCTATTTTAATCTACCGGTGGCTTTTCTAACCACAGAGTTTCAGTTTAACAGAAAAGCTTTTCCTTTTTTCTTAAATATGCCTATTTCTTAAAAATTAACTTAAAAGTAGGACAATGAAACAAAATCAAAAGGCCAGATTGTTTATAAATGGGACTCCTTTAACTCCACTGAGTTTACAAAAAGATGGTTATGCATGGTGAGAAAGCCAACATTAAGATGCTTATAACAATGTCGGGCCTCCATGTTTGACCACCATCCATTTATGATTTGTGCATTTTCACTAAGAAATTTACACCACAACTGAAACCCAACTGGATATTGACTGAGTTTCTCGGCCGGATCTCACATATACATTTTGTGGTGTTGAAAAAAAAATTTTTTTTTTATTTGTTTTGAGGTATTTTGGCTAATTGCATCACATGAGGCACAGGAATCCATGTGGTCAGCCTCATTTGTAAAAAAAAAAAAAAAAAAAAGTAAGTAAATGCTTTATGAGAATGAGTTTAAAAAAAAAAAATAATATATATATTCACAAAAAAAAAACAAAAAACAAACAAAAAAAAACTGGTCACATAATGCCTTGGTCATCAGAACCTAAATCTGAGGCTACAGTAGATATTTAATTTTTTTGTTAAATTAAATTATATTTACCATGATGACAGATTGTTCTTAGGGTGGTATAAATAAAAGCATATTTGGGTGATTAAAGTTTAGTTTCTGGCTGCTATCTGCTCTGAAGAAGAGCGCCATTGTTTCTTAGAACATTGGTTCCCAACCTTTTTTGACTCTTGTACCCCTTTGGTCATTTTTTTCCCCATACCATGATTATCCTTCTTAGTCATAATTAATAATTATTGTCCAAAAGTGGAACATACAACAACTGATTATGAAATAAAAACAATTTTACCTAATCTTTTAATTTTATCATTTAATTCTTAGGCAATTTATATTTTCCATCTCAAATAAAAAAATAAACTAAATATGTTGCCTGGAAGTTAGTAAGGAATCAAAATAAATGCAAAATAAAATCATATTATGAACCAGTATTTATAAAACTGGAGTTCCTCTTAGCATCTCACTTATAGTCACATTTGAACTTGATGAATTGGGAACAAAATACAGAACAAAAATTACAGTCAGACCGACTTCGGGAATCACTGCCCTGGCTGACCCCAGAAACCAGATATTTCCTGTTCATTTGCAGTCTGCTGTTTAAAATCTATTGAACACAGTGTTTAAAATAATAAAATGTTGCAAAATGCATTATTGTGAATAACTTATCGTCATTCATCATCTCAATCATGACATCAGGAATCTCCAGACTTACGTCTTCCACTGGGGCCTGAGCATCGAAGGCTATGTTTCTCATTTCGATAAAAGTCTCTTATTGTTGTTCAATGAAGTTGGTTCATTCAACTTTTAAAATTTAACATTCTGGCTTTGAACTTTTCCCTAGTTGTCACATTACAGTAACAAAATTAATTGGATTTGATTAATGTGACAGACCAAGCAAATGGCACCAAAATGTGAATCTGAATAGAAACTAACCACGACCTTCAGGATTTGTACAATAGAAAATCAAATAAAATGTGTGGTACATATTTATATGCAGCTTCCTTTTTCTCTATCATTATAAAAAAAAAAAAAAAAACTAAGGCTTATTAGTTTGAATGACAGATTTTGGAAACGTTAATTCTCTTATCATACCACTGATTTTAATTGGATTGCAGCTTTTGATTCCAACTGGGCTATTTTAACATCTTTATCCTTTAAGCTGAAACCATGCACATAGAGGTCTGTTAAGAATCAATTTCCTGCTACAAGGCGACCCTTTGCCATCTTCAGTCTTTTGCAGCCTCTCAAAGGTTTCCTTCCTGCCTTGTGGTGAATATAACTCTGTACTTCTTCCTTTCAACTCAGACTAACTACACTGTCCATGCTAATAAAATCAACCCACAGCATGATGCTTCCATCAACATTTATAACAGGGAATCTCTGCAACACCTCCAGTGTTATAACGCACCATCTGGCTGTTTCATAATGTTTTTCAGCTTGTCTGACTTCTCCTTTTGAGTCATGTCACCCACTACATTCATGCAGAGATTGACTCGTTTTACTTATTTATACCTTCTCAAAGCAGCTTGGTATTTTGACCTTTGTTTTCCAGACTTTTATTGTTCTTCTCAAATTTTGAGCCATTAAATAACAAAAAACCTGACTGAGTGAGATCTAAACCACCTACATAACCACAGGTTTCCTGTTTGAATAGGTTGAAAATGCATTAAATGTTACTTGAAATGTCATTTAAAAAGGATCAAAACAGTTTTTTTGGAAATCAATCTTTAAAAATTAATTCTTCTGTTCATGTAAAGAAAAAATAATTAAATTATTAAATTAAATTATCAGAAATGTGTTTTTCTTTAACTTTAGAGGGTTATAGATTCTAAAAGTAATTTAAAATATGAAAAATCTATTGTTTTGTCTATTGGATGTTCCAATTTAGGCAAATGTGACCTGTCTGACATTTAGCAGAACTTAAAGGGACTTTTGTGTATTGCAGCATGGATCGCACTCTCTACAACTGTGATGATGTGGCAAGAAAGTGTGATCTGAAACCAGTCAGTTAGAAAAAGAACGCGTCCTAACAGAGAAACTTCATGACTTCCTCTTGATGACTTTAGAATAAAGTTATGGTAATTTTTATCTTTACATTGTAGCTTCTGCCGCCACTCCAAGTTTCATATCTGAGAGCAGATTGGAAACTTTCATATTTCATCTTGAATAAAACATGATTATTAGACCACCACTTATTGAAAATCCAGATGTGAGTCAAAAGATTATAAATTTTCCATTCCGATCAGAGCGATATGGCCCAAAACGTTACTCTAGACTTCCGTTTTCTATCTTCGCCCATTTTGGTCACAAGAAGCATTTGGGTTGAGGTGGACGTACCGGGGATTGCCCACCACGTGCGTGTTTTTTTTATTATGTTTTGTTGCTTCACCATAAGACAACCTCGTGTAGGAATAATTTGAGAGGAAAAAAATACGTCGGAAGTGTTTCTCTGTCTACAGACTTTGTGCAAGCTGTCTAATTTACTTACACTTCTCATTTTTTGCCAAAGATGACTTTTGGGGAAAAAGGACATAATGAAACAGAAATTGAATATTTGCTGTGGAACTAAACGGAAAAACGGAAAGTCATGTTATACCTCTACATGTAGGCATGTTATACAAACACTAAATAATCTAAAAAAAATGAAAAATGCATATATATATTTAATAACATTTTTATAATCAAAATCAATTGTGGTGTCTCTAATGAAAATACTTATTACAATTCTCTTCTAATAGGACAACACTTATTCTTTTCCACTGACATTTCATAAAGTGGGAGCCTGCATAGAGAGGGAACTAAACTAACATTTCCTTTTTGCTCAATCTCTCCAAATAGTCTCCTTTGTCTCTCATGATTTCTTCCCTTCAGCTCATTTCACAGGTTTCCTACATATTTTAACACTGAGGGTTGATATTAGTGTTGCACCGATACTGATACCAGTATCGGACGGGGCCCCGATACTGCCCTAAAATGGTGTTATCGGTATCGGCGAGTACCAACAAATAGGGCACCGATACCATTTTGAGAGCCATAAGTTTATTCAACTATTGTCACCCACTCCAGGTAGGCAATAAAAAGTTCTACTGGATTCACTTTTTATTAGATTTTTTCCTGCTTCGCAAAGGTAGGCAGCAGCTTGACAAAGTCATGATGGCAATTATTTTACATTATTATGGTATCGGTATCGGCCAATACTGCACAGCCAGGTATCGGGTATCGGTATCGGGGCCAAAAAATGGCATCGCCGCAACACTAGTTGATATACCATTAGAATATTAATTTTATGTCCAAGTCTGTTTTGATTTG